AGCGATACTCTCCGCGTGAAGACCACCGAGATTCTGAAAAACGAGGCCGCTGGTGGGCCAAGAGCGACTCCGCAGCCTAAGGACGACGCGCTTCCGCCATCGGGCTGCAGACCGTGACGGCCCCCACCGCCCAGGTGCACCCGCCACCTCGGCGACGGCTCCGGGTTTGCCCTGCCCCCGCCCGCCACCCTCCGCCCCGACTGTGCCCGCCTCACCTCGCTGCGCCCGGCCCAGGCCGCAATGCCCGGGGCCGCCCTCCGCCGGGGCGGGCCCCCCCCCCATTCTCCCCGGCGCAGCTTAGCTAGACAGCCTCCGCTGGTTAGAGGCGGGTGGGCAGCGCATGCCCCGCCGCCCACCCGCTATTTTTTCGGGCGCGCCGTCGGGGCCATCCCCCCCTCGGGCGCCCGACGCACCTCGCCTCCCCCTTGCGCCCCTGGGCCAAGACTGGCTCGCGTCTGTAGAGGCTTCGGCCACCCTGGAAGCGGCTGCCCTATGATGGCAGACGGCCCCCGCGGCACCCCAGACTGGAGAGGGGCCTTCCCAGCTACCCCTCCCTCCAGACTGGCTGCGTGCACGGGCGAGGCCCAGTGCGGGCCTCAGTTTTGGCGCGCCACAGGCGAAGGGTTGAATCAGTCCGCCACAGGGGCAGGGCGGCCGCGTAGCAGAGAAATCAGCCCCGCGCCGTTGCAGTCGTGCATTCTGGGAGGGAGAGGCGAGGCAGCCGTTGAGGTGCCGGCCGCTCTCGCCGCGGCAGGTGCGGCCCCCCTGGACAATTTCATCCCTGAGCAGCCGTTAGCTGCGCCCCTGGTATCCCCGGCGCGCTGGCAGGCTTTGCGCGACCTGCATTGATGGCGGGCCGTCGGTGCCGATTGCGCTAGAGCCACAGCGGGCTCCGCCTACCCTGGGGATACACCGCCCTCTTCTCCCAAGCCCTGAGCAGCCGTTAGCTGCATCCCTGGATTTCGGGCCCGGGCTTCAGCCCTCCCTATGCCCCCCTCCTTCGCCAGGTGTCCCTGGTGAGCCCCTCCGCGTGGAGGGCCAGTGATGTCTGCCCCCGCCGGCCCTCCCCTCGGGTCCCTCCCGGGCAGGGCGGGCTGCAAGGTTCGCGTGCCCCTGGATCGCGGGGGTGACCGTTCTCTGCGCAGCTCCTCCCTGGATTATCCTGCCACGCTGGCGATGTTCATCCCCGCCAGCCTGGCCTGTCACACTCAGTGCGACGTTCCACGCGCTTTGACAGCGGGTGACTGGGGCCAGGCCCTCAGGGTTCACCACAGGGCCGGCGCCCCCCGTGCTCGGGATGGTGGGCCTTGGGAGCCCCGTGGGCGCTTCGGAGTGGTTCAGCCTTCCGTCAGACGCTGCGCTCCCCCTGGGCCCATTCCAGCCATTCAGGCAGGTTTACGACGTCACCTCGGCCGCTTAGCCCACCATGCTTGCATACACCGTTGGTACGGACCTGGACTTGGCGCCCCGCTGGCGACTCGTTCATCGTTCACCTCGCCTGTGCGACCTCCAGGCGTGCGAGGCGTGTCAGCATCTACGCGTGCGTCTTCGCGCTCTCTAAGTGGCTCACGCCGCATGGCGTACACAGAATGTTCTAACATTTTGTCAGACTGCACGTTGCCCGAGCCTATTTGGGTGCCCTTAGCCTGTCAGCCTCACCACGCGGCACAGCAGCTGCTTTGTGAGCTGGCCCGGCCAGCCTGCTGCGTGCCCTGTAGCTAATTAGGCTTGCATCCGCGCCCCGGGCATCTTCTGACTCCGCTTGCGCCTTCGCTAGCGGACGCGACCGAAAAAAGTATTCCCACCAGCCCATCCAGAAACGATGCCTAGGCGAAACCGGCGTACCTCAAATGAGGGAGGAAGGATGATGAATCCCCTGGGGCGCTTCACGTCTAAATTTTAAGAGTTGTCTTATCAATTCTTAATTATAGAGGTAGATCTTAAATTAAGAGTTATAATGCTTTTAGTATATCCATTACACGCCCTATCATGCATTGTCGTAACATACAACTGCAAAACTATGCATCCCATATCACACCATATCATGCATTTCCTTACTCATGGTGCTTTGCTATGGCTGTTGTCATGTTTCGTGTCTCAACACAACTCACTGTGCATCGCAGTTGGCATGTAGTCATCACTACGGCCCAGCTTGGGTTGCTCATCGTTTCTCTCTGGCGGTGTGTAGTCACATTGCAGTCATCGCGATTTCTCTCGGGTGGGGTGTAGTTATCTCTGCAGTCCAGCTTCGGTTGTTTGCAGGCCTTGGAAACGCAAGTCATTCATTCAGCGGTAGCAAGTTTTGGCTTCGAGGCTCGTTTCTTCCCCAGTGGTTCCAGAGCAGCCATGCCAGGCCGCGCGGCTTCATGGGCTGGTGAGTCGGAGGCGTTGGTTGCCGCGCTTACTCCTCACATCGCCAGCCCTGACCAGGTGGTCTATGGGGAGAATCCCTCTACAGCCAAGACGGAGCCCGATAAAATCTTCAAGTTTTCGGACATGTGGGTGGAGCTGCAGAAGCGAAGCCCGAGCATGACCTTCAAGAAAACGGACCTCACGGTCAAATAAGCCGACGCCCAAACCCCAAATGACGAAACCGTTCTTATCACTCAACGTTTTTGTTGTTTTAGTGCGTTGTTGACAGTAGTTGTCACTACTGCCATCAACAAAAACAACTGACAAAAGAACAACACACGGACATAGGACATGCAGCTCGCCCTCAGCGAGGTGGTGGACTCCAAGACGTGGGAGTTGAAGGATGAGCATATCAAGCCTTGGGTGGAGAAGACTTCTGCCAAGTTGCGCGCGATGATGCGGCGCATCCAGCAGGCCAGGGCAGAGTCCGTCAAGCGGGCGCAGCAGATCCCCTTCAGTGCGGAGGGCGCTGACGCGGAGGGCGAGGACGACGGCGCCGACGACGGCGCCGCCGAGGGCGCCGAGGTCATGCCGCAGACCCAGCAGCACCCCCCGCCCGCGCAGTTCCTCTACGGCTGGGACCCAGAGCACAACAAGGCGTGGAGGGTGGATGCCGCCAATGGGCTCAGGGAGTTTGCAAGCAAGGTCACGATCCCAGACGACGCTGGAGACGATGATCTTGTGATTGCTTGGTGGGGTGAGGCATCCGCCGAGATCTCCAGCGCGACGGTGGCTGAGTTCAAGGAGTTTGAAAAGGTGAGCTGCGAGAAGCGCTACTCGAGCTCCTACTTCCATGGCAAGAGAGATGGCAAGCTGGTCTCCGTGAAGAACAGGCTCAACGGAGGCATCCTGTTCATTGCCATCTGCCAGCCCGACGGCCAGCTTGGCCAGGTCAAGTCTGACCAATTCGGCACTCTCGAGAAGACTGTGGACGTCTTGGTCGAGATCGCCAAGGAGTTTGCGGATGGCAAGATTGAGAAGCTGCAGGTCAAGCAGGCCATCGGCATCAAGAAGTCCGAGTACGCGAAGGCCGCCCTTCAGCAGGAGAAGGAGGAGCAGAAGGCTCAGGCGGCGCAGCAGGCGACTACTGAGCAGGAGACGGCGACTCCCAAGGTAGAGAAGAAGCAGACGGCAGCGGAGAAGAAGACGCCCATTGACGACAAGACCGCGGTTCAGTTTCTGGAGGGGCGACCGCGAGCTTCCAAGAAGAGGGCCGGCAATTCCGATGCGGTTCCTGAGGTGTCGAAGGCTGCCGAGGCGTCGACCGACAACGACTCCGACAGCTTCTTTCTATGAAGACTCAGATTCCTGGCTGGATGTGAGTTCCATCAGTGGAAGCCGCAGCTTGCGCCGTTTCAATTTCTAGCCACTCTTCGGGACGTGCAACCTCACAGATTGTTGTGCGCCTGTAGTCTTCACTACAGGTTTTGGTGGCAGTGCAGCTGGGACATCTTCTGTGCGCCTGCCCGATGCAGCAAACACCCGACAGGCGCATGTAGGACGCAGTGGTATGTTCAGTATTGTTATAGTATATATATATATATATATATATATATTATAACGCATACAATCATACGCCCATACAGTCATACAATCATACAGTCATACACTCATATCATACAGACATACAGTCAGACAGCCATACCGGCATACATTCGCACAATCATACAGCCATACAATCATGCAGTTATACTCACATACAGTCATACACTCATGCAGCCAAACGGTCGCACAGTCATACAGTCATACAATCACATAGTCATACGCCCATACACACATATATTCATACAGCCATACGGTCATACAGTCATACACTCATACACTCGTACACATACAGTCTCACAGCCATACAGGCATACGGCCATGCAGTCATGCACTCATACTGCTATGCAGTAGTAATCACTACTGCGCAGTAGCAATCACTACTGGGGTATTCACTACTGGAGTGCTGACATCTCTGCGAGTTTACTTTTAGGTTTGGGCCCTCCCGAGCATTTAATCATTCGCAGACTCTTGGGCTTGAGTTCCAGGGAGATGGCACCTCGGGGAAGTGAGTCAGAGGTGGCAGTAGTGATCACTACTGCCATGAAAGGATCCAGGTTCATTCGGCATGGGGGATGGGCCCGCTTAAGTGACTGACCGATTGACTGACTGATTGACTGACTGGCTAACCGACTGGCTGACTGACTGACGCACTCCGCCACCCACCAATGCACGCAGTCACGCATCGGCAGGCGGGCGTGCCAGAATAGTGCGCTACCCGCGCCAGTAGTGATCACTACGGCCATGGTGGCCTTCAAGTGAATTCGATATGTGCGTTGGGTCCTCTAAGTTACTCGCACACTCGCGGACGAGGAGGAGACGAGGGCGACGAGGAGGAGGAGGAGGAGGAGGGAGGGAGGGATACGAGGGGGTTGGGGAGTGAAGGATGAGGACTGTTGGAGTGGAGGGAGGCCCTTGCGCACGCTGCTTGGCCGCTCCTGCTGCCGAGCTAGGCGGCGCCAGAGTGCTGGCGATCACAGCACAGTACTTGTCGGTCTGCTGCCTGCGGGGGGCACCGCAGGCGCTTGCCCTCCCTCGCGTGCTGCTTAGTCAGAGCCTGAATCGTCGCCGCTGGACTTCGGCTTCTTCAGGGGCACCTGCGCTCCATCTTTATCGTCCATTGCCGCGTCCAGCAGTTCCTTGAAACGGTGCAGCGACCGCATCCACGCAGACAAGTCTCTGAGGAATTGCCTCTTGCTCAGGTCCCTGTCATTTGGGCCAGGAGGCAAAATAACAACTCCGCGATGCGCCTCCTCTATCTCCTTGGGCGCGTGCAACCAGCTCTGGTACTCCACGGTTCTCATGCCCAGCTCGACTTGCCTGACCCTGGACCACATCATCACATGTGGCTTGTCGATCTCGCTCAGATCTTTGAGCAAGCCCCGTTTCTCTCGAACGTGCCAGACGCAGGAGAAGTACTCCACCTCGATCGGTGTCCTGGTGAGGAAGACGCCATTGGATGCCTTGAGGAATTTGCGACCTGCTCGGAACCACTTGGCAGTGTCGATGTAGATGAGGATGGTGCTGTCGGGGCGCACCCCGTCGAGGGTCGGCATCATGTGCACGCGGTTCCTGCCCATCGGGTGGAGGCCGTGTTGGGCGATCGCTTCCCAGCTGTTGTCGAAGGTCCCGTGGATGAGGTCGCCATCCCATGATGTCACCTGCTCGTAGCTGTCGTCCGACACTGGCAAGGTATGCCCCTGGGCAGCCCTCACTCGCGAGGCGCCACTGGGGAGATCCTCAAGCTGGAGCCTGCCCTTCTGGTCATTCTGAACCGCAGCCTGCAGGTCGTGGTCGGTCCATTTCCGATCGCGAAGGGGCTGCAGCCCCAAGATGTCGTTGCAATCAAACCAACCATCTTTATCCCACTGAAGCCCCCAATCGGCTGCACCATGCCGACAAATGTACACGATGAACTTCTTCAACTCCTGGAGCTCCTGCGCAGACAAGGGGCAAAGGTCGACAATGCATTTCAACGCGGGCTTTTTCTGCGGTGGTCACAGCAGAAAAGCGACATCAACTGCTGCGCTCACCAATGTAAGGGGAGTCGTCATGGCCATCGCGTGGCGATGGCCACGCGTTGGGGGACTCGCTTCTGATTGGGCACGCCCATCCACAACACAGGGCCCGATAAGGAATGAAGGAGGGATGCGGGGCGAGGGAGAGGGAAAGAGGACGGGGGGGGGGGGGATGCAGAAAAAATGATGGAGGGATGGTGGTGGCATATGTTAGATGGTTGATCCAATGGGCCTTCGCCAGGAGCTTGTATCCCCCCCCCCTCTCCCCAAGGGGAAAGCTAACTTTAACCAGAACGTTGGACACTAGCCTTGCCCCAAAAGCCTTATCCCAGGGATCGACCCCCAGACCCTATCCCAGGGATCGGCCCCCGCACCCTATCCCAAGGATCAAGCAGCGCCTGTTGCAGTGGTCGCCCCATCTTTGCAGCGTCCCGCTCCAGCTCTGCATCGCGTCCGCTGGGGGCGATATTGCGCATGCCGCTGTTGAGAATGGTGGCGAGCCCGTGGCAGCAGGCGCTGGTGATTGGCAGGGGGCGCCGAGGCCGAGGTTTCTAAGTTGGGGGAGTTGATCAAGCAGACTACCAAGGAGTCGCCTCCAAAGGTGGACTTGAACAAGGGAAGTCTGACAATCGCCTTCTTGCATTACTCGAGGAAGCTGCACAGACGGGCGCGAACATGCGGGGCCCGCTGTGCAACCAGTTCGCTCGGGACCCGAAGGGTGGGAAAGACCCGAACTACACGGGGGCCAACAAGCAGAAGGAGAACTTCAGAAAACAATGGGCCCGCGAGAAGTTCGCCGAGATCATCAACATCAATGAGAAGGGGGAGAGCCTCACCTACGTGGACAAGAGCAAGGGCACGATGACGAGCATCAAGGACTTGCTGAAGAAGGAGGGCCCAGAGGACACCGCCAAGTACGTGGCCAAGTGTGCTGCCTTGGGGGGGGGGCCTTGGGTCGAGTGGGACGACATGTGGGAACAGTGGAATGTGATGGTGACGGAGAAGAGCCACTCTGAGATCTTCGCGAGGGCATGGAGGTTGAGGCAGCAGATGCTGTCAAGAGAAGGCGGTTCAGCGGATCAGCCCGACAGGGGCACTCCCGCTGTCGGCGCAGTGGTTGCTGCTACCGCTGCAGCTGCTGCGGGAGGCCTGCCAGAGCCCAAGGCAAAGGCAAAGGCGAAGGCCAAGGCAAAGGCTGCGACGAAGAGGGCGGCAGAGGTGTGCGACCAGCCGAGCGTGAGCAAGAAGCAGAGCACCCCGATGGCCCTCGCCAACAAGACCAAGGCCAACTACAAGGCAGCTGTATCAGGGGCGCAGACACTGCAGGCCGTGATCACATCGACTGTTGAATGGGGCTGGGCGAACAACGATGTTGCCCAGAACGACCTGGCTAATGCAATCACGGCGCTTCAGAAGGCAGTAGCGGGCGACACCTTCACGAAGACGTTCTTGACCATGAGCGTCGGCGAGCTGAAGAAGAACTACAACGATGACCAGATCACGACTCAGCGTGGCTCAATGTCTCAGATGCTCGACACGCTGGTGAAGAAGGTTCATGTGGAGACGCAGTCGCTGGTGAACATGCACGCTGCGCGCATGAAGGCTGTGAGCGCTGCGTGAGGGATTACTATGCCAAATCGGTGTGATGGTGACTTGTCTCATTGAGCTTCCGTTGCTTAGGGTGTTCAGCGGAGGCACGGGGCGTGGGCATGCTCCCAGGGCAGCGCCGTCTGCATAGGCAGAGCGTCGCGTGGCCTCTGTGGTGCTCACCACAGGCGGCCTTTTCAGTACAAGCACATTGCTTTTCAAGCGCAGTGCTTAAGAGCTGTTGAAATCACAACGAATCATGATTCGCACATCGAAATGGAGTGATGAAAGTTGATGAAAATGAGGCGATGCAATATTGATGAAATATTTGCTTTGTGTTTCGTTTTATCACAAAACAGAAGTTCATTACACTATATGTGGATGACGAAAGTTTGATGGTTTTATGATGAAACTTGAGAGCTTGATAAAACATAAGAAAGCAAGAAAAGTTGAATTTTCATCGCTCCTGAGATGTGTCATCGCCATCTTGAGGAGGGCCGAAGGGTGCATGATGGCAGTAGTGATCACTACTGCGAGCGATCACTCCCTCATGGAGGGATGGAGGGAAAGGGAGGGAGGGCGGGAGGAAGTCAGGCAGGGCAGGAGGGAGGAACCGCCATCTTGAGGAGGGCCAACGGGTGCATAGTGGCAGTGGCGATCACCACTGCGATCGATCATTCCCAGATGGAAAGATTGAGGGGGAGGGAGGGAGGACGGGAGGAAGTGAGGCAGGGCAGAGGGGGGGGGATCGCCATCTTGAGGAGGGCCGAAGGGTGCACGATGGCAGTAGTGATCACTACTGCGAGCGATCACTCCCAGATGGAGGGATGGAGGGGAGGGAAGGCAGGGCGGGAGGAAGTGAGGCAGGGCAGAAGGGAGGAATCGCCATCTTGAGGAGTTCTTAGAGGGGGCCGTTGCCGCTGGAGCTTTCGGTGGAGCTCTCGCATTGGGCCACTGAAACGTGCGGGGGGCGTGCAAGCACCGCGCGCGACCGTTGCCGCTGGAGCCTTCGGAGGAGCACCCTTGTAGGGCCACGAACCATACGAGGGGCGTGCAAGTACCGCATGCGGCCGTTGCCCCTGGAACTTGCGGCGGATCTCCCCGTGGGGCCACGTGATCTGCGAGGGGTGCGGCGATGAGGACAAGCGGAGGATGGCAGAGGCAGGAAGGAAGGAAGGGGAGGGAGGGGGTGGGTGGGGGGAAGGGGAGGAAGGAAAGGGAGGGAGGGGGGGAGGGAGGGAGGGAGGAAGGGAGGAGGGAGGCATGAGGTGAGGAACGCGGGGCGCTGCGGATTCAAAGCAAGGGCCCAAGACCACAGGATGGCTGGATAAAAGCACAGGGGCCATATCTAGGCAGCTTTTTGCTTCTCTGGGGCCTCCCTGGGAGGCTCCGTGCTCACTTGGAGCCGTCTTGGTGCGGTCGCGAGGCCTCTTGGATACATGTTGGAGGCTATGTTGAGCCATATCGAGCCACACTGGGCCATCTCGAAAGCCACTCTGGTCTATCTGACCCCCCCCGTTTGGGGCTATCTTGGGCCATCTTGGACGCCCCAACCGATCGTGGCGCTCTCCTCCAGACCCTGAGGGGGGGACACCCCCAGATGGCCAGTGGGATGCGGCTGCTCCATCGCCAAGAACACAAGCGCTACGCAGCCTGGCTGCCCCGCGACGAGGGCCAGCGGGCTACGCCAAGGAGAAGCCCCTGCTCTGCGCCTTCGTCCGCTGCCTGCCGGCGGCGCTGCAGCAGCCAGTCCTGCGGGCCGCGCTCGCGCGCGCGTGGCGCTTCTCCCACCGCGAGTGTGAACTCACGACCCTCGGCAAGTGCTTCGAGTCCTCTGGCCTGCCGGCACCCAGCACCGTCGATCTGCTGAAGGTCGACGTCGAGGGGCTGGAGCTCCACGTGCTGGAGGCGATCGAGCCGGAGTGGTGGCCCAAGGTGCAGTCCGTGGCCGTCGAGGTGCACGACCTCGACGGGCGGCTCGCGCGGGTCCGCGCGCTCCTGTCTTCGCTGGGCTTCGAGGTGGAGACCAAGTCGGACGACGTCTACAACGACCAGATCGGAATGAACCACCACTTCGTCCATGCCAAGCGCAGCAGTTCTTCGATAGGCAGGGGCGTTTCCGAGGCCGAGCCGCCGCTTGGCGCGCTGAAGGACCAGTGCGACTCGAAGGAGGCGCTCACGTTTTACAACGAGGTCATGGGTGGAGGAGGGGGCAACATCCACTATGGCATCTTCCGCAGCGAGGAGGATGGAGTACGTGAGGCTGCGGACGCTTCGGTCGATCTCCTCGCTGCTTCCATCCGCCCGCCTGCGGCAAAGTCCACCACCGTGCCGCCGAGGTCCTTCGGCGCCTCGGGGTGGCTCGGGGTCTCTTTGGGCCTCTTGGGATCATCTTGGGACCTCGGCGGGTTTGCTGAGCTTTCGGCTGGTCATGGAGCGTCTTTTGCCCGTCTTGGTGCTGTCGTTGACCGTCTTGGGAACGTCTTGAGACCGTGCAGAGCGCCGAGTAGCCAACAGAACTGGACGGATTCTCCTTAGAAAAAGCGAAGGCCCAGGGATCTCTGCTAGCATGTTTACTCTCGTTCTTGCATTAAAGAGTGCCCACGAATTCCCGCTCGATGGAAAACGAGGTTAAATCCCATGTTGGGTGGAACATACGAGGATGTTTTAAGCGGAACGCTGGTTTTTGACATTCCGCTCGATACATAAAGGGGTACGCAGACCTTCGCTTTCCCTTGTAAAGAAGAGGATGCGGAGCGTTTTGCGCAGAGCCGTCGATCAATCAATAAGTTTGGATGCTAAACAAGTTTACATGAAATCGCACAAAGGTTACTGCTTGCGTGCCAGCTCGAGGATGGCGCGTACTGCGCGCAGAAACATTGATGATGTCTTGAGCGAAACGCTTGTTTTGCAGCACTTGAAGGGCTTCGGCGCCCCAGGATGTGAGAGTGCGGTCGCGCGGCTGCACCAGGGATCGCGGCCATGGGGAGCGCGGCCGCCGCGTAGTTTACGAGGGTTATTGGCCTTACAAAGGGACGGACACAGCGTGATTTACGCGGGATCCTGGCCCTGTAAGCGTGGACATATTGTAATTTACATGCACGGACCTCGGCCCTGGCAGCGCGGATGCAGCGTAATGCTTGACGCTTCGCGCATTCCCACCAGCCTGCCAAGGTCGCCCCCTTAGGTGCTAACTAGTGCTCAATCTGCACCCTTCATAAGGAGTTCAGCGGGTCGGAGCAAGGCCTCGGGTGCCCGGACACAATGGCAGGATTACAGTACATCGGGGGGGCATTGCCATGTCAAAGAAGCGGCTCGACGAAGACACACCGGCCTCCCCCGCACCAGGAGTGCAATTGAACCCCCCAAGGGTGACCGACGACCGTTTCACCAGCGACCTCAAGAACGCCCTTGTCGATTGCGATGGCAGTGGCCGCAGCAGAAAAGGGCTCTGGTACACAGCCGGCACTTGCGAAGACGACGACACAAGTGAGCTCCTGACACAGAATCGTGCCCAGGCGTACATGCTGGGCAGGATCTGCAGGTGGCTCTGCGAGCGATGCTGGATCGCCTCAGTGGAAGCGAAAGGCCCCCCACGCCCCTCGCCCCGCACGACCTGCGGCTCAGACAGGCCCCTGCCCGCGCGAGTGCAGGACTACAAGAGCACCCTGCAAAGCACGCGGCCAGACGGGAGGTCCAGGGCGCCCCCCTCCCTGGAACGACTCCCAATCGGGTGCGGGCGACCAGTCTTGGCCCAGACCCCCACGTCATTGAGCGACCTCGCCATGACATGAAGACCCCCCCCGCCTTCAGTCCACGCGCCGCCAACCTGACCCTCCCGGCACGCAAGCTCACGGACGGGAGGCTCGGTCCCGAGGCTCACGCCACTGGCACATACTGAGCCCAGTGCGACACTTGCCCGCCTGGGGCCCCCCTGCTGATGTGGGCCGCAAACCGCCCCGCCCTAGGCTGCTTCCTCTGGCGCCCAGAGCCCGAGGTGCCCGTTGGAGGCAACACTGGTCTCCTCCCCTGGGAACTGATGCCTGCCCTCTGGACCCAGCGAAAGTGGAACGCCAGCTGGTCCTGCAGGAGGTGCCTCACGCACATCTGGAACGTGGCCCCAGGCACGCTCGACCACATCCTCGACAAGCAGACCACGGACGTCTATCCCACGGCGCCTGCCAAGCGGGAGACCGCGGCTGAAATGGACGTTGATAACACCAACATCGCCGTGTACCTCTCCCCTGGTACCGCCGATGCTACCGCGCTGGACTCCTACTCACGACCGGCGACCCATGCCAAAGGGCCGCCCTCCCTCGCTGGTGAGGATCGGACCAGCCCCACCGGGCGCTCGAGCCATGATGGCACCAGGGCTCGGGACATCGGCGCCCTGCCCCCCGACATCCCCCCGCCCTCGGGCCCCGCCCGACCGACCCATTCCACTTCCGAGCTCCCAGGGCAGGATTCCCAAGGCGTCCTCCGCTCTTTGGTCAGATTCTTGCTCGAGTGGAACCCGGACATCTTCGGTCGGCGGGCTAGCTTCGCGCGGGGACACGGCGACGGTATCACAGGCGTGAAGACCGACGAGGAGTCTTGGCCTCCCCAGAGGTTATGCCCCTTCCTGGTCAGCATCTACGGACAGACGATCCCGGTGAAGTGCCACCCCCCCAACAACCCCTGGGACAGCCAGAGGGCGGCAGCCGCTCGGGTCGTCTCCCACCTGTCACAGAACGACGGGCACGCGAGCAAATGGCGGACGTATGTCGCCAGTCTGGAGGAGCAGCGTGGTATCTGCCCATTTCGCCACGCGACCAGCACCTCGCTGGGATACCTCGCGGACATGGACCCTTCGGCCCTAGCTGGCGGCACCATCAACTCCCTGGCGCAGCAGGGCCCGGTCCAGACCGTCCCCAGTGCAGCAGCGGCAGCGAATTCCCCCGCAGCATAGTGGATGGACAGACGCAGCGATGCAGCAGAGGCCTCTCTCCCTACTGGCAGAACCCTGGACAGGAGACACAGCGAGACAACGCCCACAGGCTGGTGCGCGAGGCCCCCGGCAACGAGGGAACAAAGGTCGCGCCCCAGTCCCAAGCCGCAGCGGATGAGCAAGACAACGCCGGGCAGGCCTGCAGGACAGGCGGAGCCGCGGGATCCCAGGAGCCCCGCGCCCCCAGATTGGGGCGATGACTCAGGGACCGCAGCCGCAACGGCTAAGGACAGAAGCCCGAGCGCGAGCCCCGAACCTGCTGCCACGGAGGACGAGGACTACGACCCCCTCGGTGCATTTACAGCGGCGCCCCCCAGCGGCCCCCCATGGTCGCCCTGCGCGCGGGCCATCGATGGGAACGCAGCCAAGGAGCTCCAGAGGGCCAAGGGCGACGCCGCACCGGCCAGCGCGTCGTCCTGGGACCGCGCGGGGGCCAGAGCTGACCGCGAGCCCACCCCGCCCCCCCCGTGCATAGGACGCGGCCGCCTAGTCTCCGAAGACACGGGGGACGGGAAAGGGCGCGCCGCCAAGTCACCAAGGTGGAACCCAACGCGACAGGAGCTGAGCAAGGAACCCTGGAAGGACACCAGCGCCGACCGGCAGATGTACGAAGACCTCCATGACCCCACGGGCGGCGGCCCCATGTACAAATGCTCCCTGGCAGCCGCGAACCTGGACAAAGATGAAGCCATGCAGGCCAACGTGGCGCGCCTGCAGAGGACGCTAGGAGGCGCCTTCAACGCTATATGGCACGCGCGGTCCAAGCGCGCTGCTCTGAATCAGGGCGCCAAAGGAGGCTGCAAGAGCACCCCCCTGCTCAACGCACCCGAGACTTGCTCGGACTTCATGAAAGCCTGGGGCCGCGCTGGGTACGACGCGTACCGGATGGATCATGAACGCAGACTCGGAATAGACTGGGTCGAGATTCGCCGCAAGCACATGAAGTTCCCCGAGCGGCACGACGCCCTCGCACAGGCCCCCCGCGCACCTGGCAGCCGCGACACGCCGGCACCCTGGTCAGCAGACACCCGCAGGGGCGGGCGAGCAGCGGCGCAGGCCCCCTGGGCAGCCGCCAATCCACCGGGTGCCCCCGACCAATGGCGGGGCTGGCAGGGCTGGTCCTCATGGGGGCGTCACGACACGCCGTGGACAGACTCCGAATGGAAAGGAGGAGGCAAGCGATACTCTCCGCGTGAAGACCACCGAGACTCCGAAAAACGAGGCCGCTGGTGGGCCAAGAGCGACTCCGCAGCCTAAGGACGACGCGCTTCCGCCATCGGGTTGCAGACCGTGACGGTCCCCACCGCCCAGGTGCACCCGCCACCTCGGCGACGGCTCCGGGTTTGCCCTGCCCCCGCCCGCCACCCTCGGCCCCGACTGGGCCCGTCTCACCACCTCGCTGCGCCCGGCCCAGGCCGCAATGCCCGGGGCCGCCCTCCGCTGGGGCAGGCCCCCCCCCCATTCTCCCCGGCGCAGCTTAGCTAGACAGTCTCCGCTGGTTAGAGGCGGGTGGGCAGCGCGTGCCCCGCCGCCCACCCGCTATTTTTTCGGGCGCGCCGTCGGGGCTATCCCCCCCTCGGGCGCCCGACGCACCTCGCCTCCCCCTTGCGCCTGGGCCAAGACTGGCTCGCGTCTGTAGAGGCTTCGGCCACCCTGGAAGCGGCTGACCTAAGATGGCAGACGGCCCCCGCGGCACCCCGGACTGGAGAGGAGCCTTCCCAGCTACCCCTCCCTCCAGACTGGCTGCGTGCACGGGCGAGGCCCAGTGCGGGTCTCAGTTTTGGCGCGCCACAGGCGAAGGGTTGAATCAGTCCGCCACAGGGGCAGGGCGGCCGCGTAGCAGAGAAATCAGCCCCGCGCCGTTGCAGTCGTGCGCTCTGGGAGGGGGAGGCGAGGCAGCCGTTGAGGTGCTGGCCACTCTCGCTGCGGCATGTGCGGCCCCCCTGGACAATTTCATCCCTGAGCAGCCGTTAGCTGCGCCCCTGGTATCCCCGGCGCGCTGGCAGGCGTTGCGCGACCTGCATTGATGGCGGGCCGTCGGTACCGATTGCACTAGAGCCACAGCGGGCTCCGCCTACCCTGGGGATACACCGCCCTCTTCTCCCAAGCCCTGAGCAGCCGTTAGCTGCATCCCTGGATTTCGGGCCCGGGCTTCAGCCCTCCCTATGCCCCCCTCCTTCGCCAGGTGTCCCTGGTGAGCCCCTCCGCGTGGAGGGCCAGTGATGTCTGCCCCCATCGGCCCTCCCCTCGGGTCCCTCCCGGGCAGGGCGGGCTGCAAGGTTCACGTGCCCCTGGATCGCGGGGGTGACCGTTCTCTGTGCAGCTCCTCCCTGGATTCTCCTGCCACGCTGGCGATGCTCATCCCCGCCAGCCTGGCCTGTCACATTCAGTGCGACGTTCCACACGCTTTGACAGCGGGTGACTGGGGCCAGGCCCTCAGGGTTCACCACAGGGCCGGCGCCCCCCTTGCTCGGGATGGTGGGCCTTGGGAGCCCCGTGGGCACTTCGGAGTGGTTCAGCCTTCCGTCAGACGCTGCGCTCCCCCTGGACCCATTCCAGCCATTCATGCAGGTTTACGACGTCGCCTCGGCCGCTTAGCCCACCTTGCTTATATACACATCTGGTACGGACCTGGACTTGGCGCCCCGCTGGCGACTCGTTCATCGTTCACCTCGCCTGTGCGACCTCCAGGCGTGCGAGGCGTGTCAGCATCTACGCGTACGTCTTCGCGCTCTCTAAGTGGCTCACGCCGCATGGCGTACACAGAATTTTCTAGCATTTTGTCAGACTGCACGCTGCCCGAGCCTATTTGGGTGCCCTTAGCCTGTCAGCCTCACCGCGCGGCACAGCAGCTGCTTTGTGAGCTGGCCCGGCCGGCCTGCTGCGCGCCCTGTAGCTAATTAGGCCTGCATCCGCGCCCCGGACATCTTCTGACTCCGCCTGCGCCTTCGCTAGCGGACGCGACCGAAAACAAGTATTCCCACCAGCCCATCCAGAAACGGTGCCTAGGCGAAACCGGCGTACCTCAAATGAGGGAGGAAGGATGATGAATCGGAGCAGGAGGAGGAGGAGGAGGAGGAGGAGGAGGAGGAGGAGGAGGAGGAGGAGGAGGAGGAGGAGGAGGATAAGGAGGAGGAAAAGCAGGAGGGGGAGGAGGAATAGGATGATGAGGAGGAGGATGCGGGGGAGGAGGGCGACGAGGAGGAAGGATGATGAGAGCGTGGAGAAGGACGCGGAGGAGGTGGAGGAGGTGGGGAGGGGGAGGAGGGTGGAGGAAGGAGGAGGAGGAGGACGAATAGGCTGACGAGGGGAAGGAGGAGAAGGACGAGGAGGACGAGCAGAAGGGCCAGGCCTTTTGAATGCCTCTCAGAGCTTCTTCGGATGTCTCTTGGGAGTTTCCTGGAAGCCCCTTTGGGCGTCTTGGGGGCCTCTTGGCGGTCCCGGGGGCCTCGTGGAGCTTCTTGGGTGTTTCAGGGAGCCTGTTGGGGCCTCTTGGGGGTCTCTTGGGAGCCTCTTGGAGGCCTCTTGGGCGCCTCTTGGGGCGCTCTGGGGCGCCTCTTGGGACCCTCGTGGGCCGCTCTGGGGAGCCTTTGGGGCGCTGTTGGGGCCATCTTGGAGGAGATCGATCAAAGAAGGGGGGGGTGCTTAATTAGAGTCCCCCTCGGGAGCCCAACAAATCGTCTCTTGGGCCTCTCTTGGGGCGCTCGGGAGCGCTCTTGGGCGCTCCTGGGGTCGTCTTGAGGCTCTCTTGGGCCTCTCTTGGGGCCCTCTTGGGCTATCTTGGACCCATCTTGAGACCTCGGAAGGCCAACGAAAGCGAAAAGGCGATATGACAAAATGAACTGATGTTCCGTAGGTTAGGTGTTCGAAGGATTTGGGCTTTTGGGCGGCCTCTTTGGGAGGCTCCGTGGCCACTTGGAGCTGTCTTGGAGGGTTCTTGGTGTCTCTTGGAGCATCTTGGGCCACCTTGGAGGTCATCTTGGGCTTTCTGAGGATGTTGCAGCTATCTTTGGTCATCTTGGACGCTTTAACCCCTCGCCGCCCCCCCGTCCAGGTCCGGGGGAGGGGGTAAGGCGGAGGTGTGAACCCCTCCCCGAAGGGGAAGAAGAGGGTTGGAAGAGGAGCCGCCCTGGACCACCTACGCCCAGAGGGCAGGTGGGATTTACAAGGGATCTTGGCCCTGGTAGCGCGAAGCTGATGTAATTGGAGGCGGAGGAGGAAGAGGAGGAGGAGGAGGAGGAGGAGGAGGAGGAGGAGGAGGAGGAGGAGGAGGAGGTGGAGTGACGCTTCTTCGCGACGGTTCGCGCATTTCCACCTGCTCGTCCAGAAAAGCTGTCTCGGAGGGCCTCGAGATGGCCACCCACTGGCCCATCTCCACGCGACCGCTCCTTCAGCCCTATTGGGGCCCTCTGGAGTCCTCTACGGCCCACCCAGGGGCCCTCCCGGACCGTCTTGGAGGGCCCCATTGGGGCCCTCCAAGAGGGCCCCAAGAGCAGTGAAAGTTGAGTCACGTAAGCAAGCAATTGCACACCGTATGTCTTGAGGCCCTCTCGGAGCTCCCGCGGGGCCCCCTTGGGGGCATTTTGGAGCCCCAGGGCCCCGACAATGCCATCTCGGAGGGTTTCCAGGAAGGTTTGGGGAACTCTTCGGGCTCCTTTGCGACCCTCCTGGGGACCCCTGGGCCCGAAAATGTCGTCTCGAAGAGCCTCAGATGGCCAAGTGCGGCCTTCACGGGGTCCCTGTGCCGGTGCCCTCGGGTGCATTCCGCCCTCGAGATGGCCCCAAGAGTCGGGGGTGGACAGAACCCCCAACAGTGTCCATCCCCGAAAGAGGGCCCCGAGTGCTGTGTCCGCCCAGGCGCTTCCCTGGGAGCGCGAACCCATCGTAATTTGCAAGGGATCTGGGCCCTGGGAGCGCGAACCCAGCGTGATTTACGACGGAGCGCGGCCCTGGGAGCGGGGACGCAGCGCAAATTCGGAGGATTCGCGCCGTCGGGTCCAGAGCCGAATCTTCCGCAGAAAGGGGGGGGGGGCGGGCGAAGTGCGCCAACGGAATAGATCCGAATTCAGACGAGTCATGGCTTCTGCTCGGGAGAGGGGGGCCCAGAGATCCGATGTCGTGATTTTTTCAATACGGGGTCCCCGGAAGTCTCGACCCATTCCCCAGGACCGGTTTTTCATTCTGAGTCGTTTTTTGACGGCCCCGAGGCCCGGCGAGGGCCCCTAGGGGCCGAAATTTGAAAAAACCTCCGTCTTGATTTTTTCAATACGTTGGATCTCTGGGGGGGGGCTCCTCTGGGCAACCTCCGCGGCGCATTTCGTGGCCCCGGGAGCGCGGGCGCAGCGCAATCTGCGAGAGGCCGTAGCCCTTGGAGCGCGGACGCAGCGTCATCTGCGAGCCCGCGGGCCCGCGGCCCGCCCCCTGGGCGCCTTCCCTGGCACGTCCCCTGGCATTTTCCGTGGCGCGCCCCCCCCCCCCCCCCTCCTCCTCCTCCTCCTCCTCCTCCTCCTCCTCCTCCTCCTCCTCCTCCTCCTCCTCCTCCTCCTCCTCCTCCTCCTCCTCCTCCTCCTCCTCCTCCGTGCCGCGTCCCCCTTGGCGCATCGCGCGACGAGTCCCCTGCCGCATCCACTGGCGCGTTCCGTCACGCGTCCCCCGGCATGGCGCCGTGCAGCGCGGCGCAGCGCAGAGAAGCACGGCACAGCCCCTGGCACAGGAGCACCGCCGTTGATATCTTCCGCGATGCCACTGCCCTTCCCGCGGTGGAGGTGTTTGGAAGCGTCTCCGGGCCTCGCAGTCTTAGATCCCTTCCCTCACCGCCCACCAAACCATCCCAACCCAACCCGAAGGCCCCGACTTGCCCTCCATCTCCAGTGTGGGGGGGGTCGGGGAGCCTTGGAAAAACACCTATGAAGCTCGTACCCCCCCAAACCCGAAGTTCGGGTCTAATTCGGGCCTTCGGGTTGGGTTGGGGTGGTCTGGTAGGTAGTCCTTCTGGGGCTCGTGGGCCGATCCTGTGGAAGGCGCCTGCCGCCAAGAGGGTGGCTGCGCCTTCCAACCAGCGGAAGCGCCCTGCCGCACAGCGAAGAGGGGCAGCCCACAGCACGCCCCTGCGAGCCGAGGCCACGGCGGCGGGTCAACGCTCACCGCCCGCTGCGCGGCGCGCGCGTGCTGGACGTGGGCTCGGGCACGGGTGCTGCGGCGCATGTCCTCCTGCAGCAGTGGAACTCAGAGGAGGAAAAGGTGCCCACATACCACTGCTCTCCTCCGGCCTTCCCCTTGTTCCTTTGTGGGGCCTCCTGGGAGGCCCTCGTCGCAGCCGCTGGATTCGCCTCGAAGTCCTGGTCCGGAACGCACCCCGGGAGACGTCCGGGGAGTGTCGGTATCAGTACCTTTTTTGGCCTCCCCAGGAATTGCGCATCCGTGCTGGGCTTCAACCTCTGTCCTGGGCAGAACGCTACGGCGAATGAGCTGGCCCGCGAGCTCGGCGTTGGCGAGCGTTTCGGCACCGTGGAGGGCAACTTTGACGAGGACCTCCCTCCGAGCTTGCGCGGAGAGACGTTCGACGCGATTTGGAGCCAGGAGGCTTTCTGCCATTCGAAAGACAAGGCGGCGCTGATTGCCAGGCTTGCGGACCGCCTCGCGCCCGGCGGCGTGCTCGGTTTCACCGACATCATGGCCGGCGAGGACGCCACGGCCGAGCAGCTCCGCACCTTCACGGACCGCAACGCCACTTCCGAGATGGCCCGCTGCTCGGACTACATTGGCTACCTCCGTGCAGCTGGCCTGGAGCTGGCCACCGTGAGCGACATGACCCGCCACCTGCCGCGCTTCTTCTCGCTCATGGCGGCCCGCATCGACGCGTCGCGCGCCGGCCTCGCCGCAGCGGGCGTCTCCGACGAGTACATGACGAACTTCCGGGACAGCCTCCGCGCCAGGGTGGACTTCTCCCGGGCCGGCGCGTTCGCCTGGGCCTTCGTCGTCGCGCGCAAGCCGGGCGCGCCGCCGGAGGCCCGCTCGGGCCTCACGGGCACGCTGGCCGGCGGCGGGCAGGGCATTGCCACCTTCGCGATCTCGGGGCGTGCGAGCCGCCAGGCGGCGCGGGCGCCCCACTCCCGGGGCCTCGCCACCGTGGGCGCGGCGCCCGCCTCGGCGGCCGCGCCGGGCCCAGACGTCCACGTGGTGGGCGCGGGTGCGGTGGGCACGTTCCTGGCGAGCAGGGCCGCGCGGGCCGGCCTCCGCGTGGACCTGCAGCCCTCCGCGAGGGGGTGCACGGACGTCGTCCGCTCCATCTGCGCGCGCGACGGCGTGCGGCTCGTCAGCGCGCTGCCCCCGCTCGGCGCGGGCACCCTCACGTTCGTCGCCACCAAGACGTACGACCATCGCGAGGTGCTCGGAGGCGAGCTGGCGACGCGCCACGCGTGCGTGATCCACAACGGCATGGCGCGGCTCACCCCGCCGCACTACAGCGCGGTGGCGTTCGGCGGCTGGAACTTCGAGCCCCCCGACGGCCTCGTCGCCCGCAACCTGGACCAGTGGGCCCTGCACCCGGCGCTGGCGGAGCACGCGGCACTGCTCGAGAGGGTAGGCATCTCCGCCACGTGCGACGACGCCGTCTTCGCCCGGCGCTTCCTCACCAAGCTTCTCGTCAACATCGCGGGCTCGCTGCTCGGCGTGCTCCACGGTTCGACCTGTGCGCAGCTCGTGGACAAGTACTCGGACGAGGTGGAGGGTTTGGTTTGCCCCTCCCTCGAAGTTTTTTGTCGTTTCCCCCTCTGGGGGTCGGCGGGAGGGTCTGGGGAGCTTTCTGTTCCCCTCAAGGGAGGTGGTGGGGGGCGGGGGCGTCGCCCTTGGATGGTTTATCCCCCCTTCGGGGGTAGGGGGGGCTCGGGGGGGTGGGGGCCCCGAGGCTTTTACCTTATTCGCTCGATGCCTGGTTTTGCTTGCCACCTCGATGTTTCTTTTTTCTCTCCTCCCCCCACTCGAGGGGAGGGGGCAGCGAAGGCGTGGGCGGGGGGGGTGGGGGGAGGCGCCTGAGGGGGAGCCTGGGGGGGCGGGGGCGGGGGGGGCGCCTGGGCATTTCGCCCAGAGAGAGGGGGGGGGGGGTCGGGGCCGGGGAAGCGTCGGAGCGTGCTGGCTCGCTTCGCGGGCGCACTTCGCGCTGCCTGCTGCCCGAGTGCAGGCGTCAGTGAGAGGATACAGCCGGAGCCCCGTGTCCCCAGAGAGCGCTTCTCGAGCCAGGGTGGCTCCCGAGAATGTTCGCGCGTTCTCCTGTTTCCGGCCCCCCCTTCGCCTTCGGCGTCGTCGTCGAGCTTTCCGTGATCGTCGTCGTCCTCCTCCTCCTCCTCCTCCTCCTCCTCCTCCTCCTCCTCCTCCTCCTCCTCCTCCTCCTCCTCCTCCCCCGCATCCACGTAATTCTCCTCCTCGCCCTTCCCCTTCCACACACCTCCTCCTCCTCCTCCTCCTCCTCCTCCTCCTCCTCCTCCTCCTCCTCATCATCATCACCCTTCTCTCTTCCTCCTCGTCCTCGTCTCGTCCTTGTCCTCGCCATCCTCCTCATCCTGATCCTCCTGACCCTCCTTTTCCTCCTCCTCCTCCTCCTCCTCCTCCTCCTCCTCCTCCTCCACTCCTCCTCCTCCTCCTCCTCCTCCTCCTCCTCCTCCTCCTCCTCCTCCTCCTCCTCCCCCTCCTCCTCCTCCTCCTTCTCCTCCTCCTATTCATGTATCTCCTCATCCCACTCCTTCTCATCCCCCTCATACGAAATCATCCTAATGCTCCTGGTGCTATTCCTCCTCGCGGTTTTCTTTTTCTTCCCCTCCTTATTCGTCTTCTCCTACTCCTCCTCCTCTTCATCCTCTACCTCGTCATCGACTTCCTTCTTGCATTTCTCCTGATCCTCCTCCTCCTGCTCCTCCTCCTCCTGCTCGCATTGCTACTCATTGTAATCCTCGTGTTCCTCGTCCTCCTCCGCTTCGCAGTGCTCCTCCTCCCCCTCCTCCTCGGCCTCCTCGCAATGCTCCTCCTCTTCCTCCTCCTCCTCATCGTCTTCCTCGTCCTCGCATTCATCGTCGACCTCCTCCTCCTCCTCCTCCTCCTCCTCCTCCTCCTCCTCCTCCTCCTGGTCCTCCTCCGTTATTTTCCTCCTCCCCCTCCCCTTCCTCCTCCTCCTCCTCCTCCTCCTGTTTTCCTGCTCATCCTGCTCATCCTGCTCCTCCTCCTGCTCGCCTTGCTACTCCTAGATTCCTCGTGTTCCTCCTCCTCCTCCTCCTCCTCCTCCGCCTCCTCCTCGAAATGCTCCTCCTCCTGCTCCTGCTCCTGCTCGTCCTGCTCCTCCTCCTCCTCCTCCTCCAACGTCTCCTCCTCCTCCTCCTCCTCCTCTTCCTCCTCTTCGTCCTCGCAGTCGTCGTCGTCGTCCTCCTCCTCCTTCTCCTCCACCTCCTCCTCCTCCTCCTCCTGGGTTTCCTCCGTTCTTTTCCTCCTCCTCCCCCTCCTGCTGCTTCTCCTCCTCCTCCTCCTCATCATCATCATCCTCCTGCTTCTCCTCCACCTCCTCCTCCTCCTCCCCCTCTTCCTCCTGCTCCTGCTCCTGCTCCTCCTCCGCCTCTTCCCTCCTCGTCTCCGCTTCCTCCGCCATGCCAGGGATGCGTTCGCACTCTCGATGCCGCTTCCAGGGGGCACCTTAATCAGGGATGCCCTCGAACAGGTAGCGCTTGAGCCTGGTCGCCCCGTCTTTCTCCATGATCCATTTCGCGCAGCATCCAGGAGCTCTTTCCTCCTCCCGTTCTCCTCCCCCATCCGGCCGCCTCCCCGCTCGCCGCGCTCTAGTCGAGGCATCTCCACGATTTGCTCCAGCATGGCTTCCCGCTATTCAGCCCTTGAAGTTTACCCACGAGTCGCGCTCGCGCCTCGGCGCCGGCCCCCTCCTCCGTCGGGCCAATAGCGCCCAGAGCATAATTCGACAGCAGGCGTGTGGTTAAATAGTTCGTTTGGGTATGTCCCTTCCTCGCTCGTCTCTCCTCCCTCTCGGAGCCCAGAGTTTCGAGGATTTCTCAGGCGAAACGGGCCAGACCCCCCTGACGCGGCATTTCGGAGCCCAGTCGCGAGGATGTTTCAAGCGAGACGCGCCAGACCACCTCGCGTACATTTTCTGAGAGCCCAGATTGCGAGGCAGTGTCAAGTGAAACAAGCTGGACCACCCCGCGCCCATTTTCAAGGAGCCTGGATGTGCGAGGATGTCTCAGGCGAAACGTGTTGGACCACCTCCCGCGCAGCATCTCGGAGCTCATGCGAGGATGTCTCAGGCGACGCGGGCTGGACCGTCTCGCGTGCGACATCTGGGAGCTCAGATTTGCGAGGATGTCTCAGGCGAAACGGGCTGGACCACCTCGCGTGCGACATCTGGGAGCTCAGAGTTGCGAGGATGTCTCAGGCGGCGCCCAGACCCTCCCACAGCACAGGTCGGCAACAGGCAGCAGGCGTGTAATCAAATGATTCGTTTGGGTCTGACTCCTCCTTCCTCGTTTCTCCTCCCTCTCAGAACCCAGAGCTCAGCATCTCGGAGCCCAGATTTGTGAGGACATCTCGAGCGAGGCGCGCCAGACCACCTCGCGCGCGGCAGCTCGGAGCTCAGGGGCGCGAGGATGTCTCGAGCGAAGCGCGCCGGACCACCTCGCGCGCGGCAGCTCGGGGCGCAGAGTTGCGAGGATGTCTCGAGCGAGGCGCGCCGGACCACCGCGCGCGGCAGCTCGGAGCTCAGATTTGGGGGGGATTGTCAGGCGAAGGCCGCTGGAGCCCTTCGCGCGCGGCGAGGCGCAGAATTGTGAGGATGTCTTAGGCTTACGTCGGGCTTGTCCCTTTATCTACCGGAAGAATATTCAAAAAGAGTAAAAAATAGTCGGGGGACGATTTCTGAATACCTTTGAGCATCTTTAGTAATTAGAATATGCTCTTAGGGGAACAGGCCCGAGTTAACACCTCTGGCGCAGCACCTCGGAGCCCCGGAATGCGAGGATATCTCGGGCGAAACGCGTTGGACCAACTCGCGCGCGGCAGCTCGGAGCGCAGAGCTGTGAGGATGCCTCAGGCCAAACGCGCTGGACGGCCTCGCGCGCGGCGCCTCGCCGCTCAGAAGTGGGAAAATGTCTCAGACGAAACGCCCAATCCCGGCCAACTCAGAAACGAAAGTTGTGAGGATGTCTCAGGCGAAGCGGCCTTGGTCACCAAATTGTTAACAGGATATCTTTGTTGGGCCGCTCCCCGCCCAGAGCTCCAAACGGCTCCGAACTTTTTCTCACAAGGAGGAAAACGGCCCCAGATGCTTGTAAAACGACCCACGAAGCCGCCGTGAAGCCCCCCCAAACCTGTCCAAAACGGTCCAAAGAGCCTTCCCCTCACCCGCCTTCCCCTCACTCGCCTTGAAGGCCCCGAGATTTGTCCACAATGGTCCAGAAAGGCCCCCCTTCACTAAAATGACGACCCAAGACGCCCAGTACAGCTTCCGAAAAGCCTCGGGTGCCTCCAAGACGGTCCAAAAAGCTTCCTGCAATCTTTTTCCCAAGAGCGCCTCAAGACGTCCGAAGACGGCCCCGAGACAATCTAAGAGGACCCCGCGATTGCCCAAGAGGCTCCCAAAACAGCTTCCACGGGGCCCCAAGACACCCCATGAAAACCCATTCAAGCCGAGTTCCCCATGACGGCCCAGGACAGTTCCATGACGGACGAAAATGACTTCGACCATAATGGCAATGACAATGAAGACGATGATGATACTTGAGTGCATGATGATGACAACGATGAGGATGGCAACGATGATGCTGCTGATGATGATGATGATGATGATGATGATGATGATGATGATGATGATGATGATGATGATGAGTGGTGATGATGATGCTGTTGGTGATGGTGATGGTGATGATTGATGATGATGATGATGATGATGATGATGGTGATGATGATGATGATGATGATGATGATGATGATGATGGTGATGGTGATGATGATGGTGGTGATGATGATGATGATGATGATGATGATGATGATGGATATGCCCAACAACCCTGATTTCACGTGTTCCAGAAACGTCTCTCGGGAACACGCAAACTTACAGTGGCGATGGCGATGGCGATGATGATGACGATGGCGAGTATGATGATGAGGATGATGATAGCGACGGCGGTCACGAATATGACGGGCATAGCGATGACTACAAGATGATGATGGCGTTCTTGGTTATGCGGGTCATGCACGGGAAGGAGGAGGCAAACAGGGACTACGACGAGGACGCGCGGTAGGACGATTACTCCGACGGTAGGCCCCGACACGATAATCAATCTAGATTGCCCTTCGCTCTTTCCTCTTCGCCATGGCCGAACCCCCCCGTCTCGCTTTCTGTTGCGCCTCCGCCTCATCCTCCTTGTCTTCCTCGTCCTCCGTCTTCTCCTCCTGTTCGCCTTCCATGTTCAATGGCTCCTCTTCCTCTTCGTCCTTTTCCTCCTCCTCCTCCACCTCCTCCTCGTCCTCCCCCTCATTTCCGTCCCGCCTGTTCTCCTCGTGCACCTCTCCTTCCTCCTGGCAGGGGGACGCATGCCGATTTTTCTCGGCGCCTTCGCTGCCACGCCCAGCAGGGGCGCGTTCTCCCATGGCAAAGTCGCGACGCCGTCGGGACAACGACCTTTGGGACAACCCCCCGAGCCGCTGGGGCGCGAGAGCAGGCAACCCCGCAG